AAGTACAAACACGTTGTTTCACCTGTAGGTACTTCAGTGTATTTTTAAAACTTTTTGAACATTAATAACCACAATGCCTCTATTCCTCTGAATAATAATGACTTAATGTTAGTTATTATCACTCCAATTTGCCCTTCTTACCCTCCCTGTCTTATTATAGTTACTTTGAATCAGGGACCAAAAATCAACTCATTGAGTTTGGTTCACATGTTTCTTAGACTCTTTTTTTTTTTTTGAGCATTAAGTATTTAATTAATATATGTAACAAAAAGTCTGAAGGTAAGGTTGTACACTTATGGAAATAATGATTTTGACCTACTTCATAAGGTAGTTGTGAGGCAGTACATGTAAAGTGTTCATGCGTCTACACTGTCCATAGTAAGCATTCAAGAAGTGCCACCAAAGTAAGTACCGAAATCTACATTTCAGGGGACTTAATTCACACTCAGAGCTTCAGACTTAGCATTATACAAGGTTGTATCTGATGGCCTAACAAGCAGACAGAGTAAAAATAATCAACTTTTTAACAGGCCTGGGCCGAGCCATGATGCTCAGAGCTGCGCGCCAGTGGCGGGCCGCCAGGGGCGGGGCGCCGGGACGCCGGGGGTGGGCGGGGCGAGGGACGCGCCCTCCGCCGCCCGTCGGTCCCCCGGGGGCGGGGCTCGCGTTCCCACGGCCCGCCACGCAGCCGGGCGGGAAGACACCCCCGCATCACGGGCAGCTGCGGGGTCGACCGCGGGAGGCGCGCGTGCACTGGGGCTTCCACCTTCCCGGGCGCGATGCTCAGGCTGGCCTGCCGGCGCGGCGAGCTCCCCGCGGTGGCAGAACCCCTCCGCGGACCTGGGGCGTGCCAGACACAGCCCCGGGGTGCGCGGGCCTCTCCAGAATGCCGCCTATCCCATGTGCCGGGCCCCGGCTCCCAGCGCCCCGCCCCCCCGAGGAGCCGCCGCGGCAGGTCGCCGGCCTCAGAGCGCGGCCTCCCCGGGCGCTCCGGGCCCGCGCGGCCGGCGCCCCCTTGTGGCCTCCAGCTGTCAGGCTTCCCCCGCAGCTGCTGCCGCCGCCGCCGCCGCCGCCGCCGCCACAGGCGCCGAGCACACAGGCTGGGGCGCGGCCTCACGCTCACTCCCCCGCAGCAGGGACGTCAGGCCTCTCTTAGACTCAATCAACGGTACTACTACTACGCTTTTTCTTACTTTTGAAAAGTCTGAGTCATTATGTTCTGTAGAATTTACTACATTCTGGATTTTGTTTTCGTCATGGTGCCATTTTGACAATTACTCTATCCCTATTTTCCCTGTAAATGGGCAGTTGGCTCCTGAGGCTTGATGAGTTTCAAGTTCAGTGATTTGGGCAGAGGTGCTGCTGTGCACTTCTGATCGCATCACACAGGGAGCACTGCTGTGTGGTTGCCTCCCACTGGCCTCAGGTGTCAGTCTGATCCTTCCCTTTATTGTTCCTATGAGCTTTTCACCTGCTGATTTTAGCGGCCATTTTTCGCCTTTGTCTATGTCCATTGTGGCAAAATGGTGATGTTCTAATTCTGTCCTTCCCTCTGCATGTGTTAACTGAAGGTCTGTGTAATTCTAGACAGAAGAACAAACCCTATCTACAGGAGTGGCAGGATAATAAGCCACTGGGGTGCATGGGCTTGCATGCACTGATGCCATAGTTAACTCCAAAGATGACCAGTATGATTCTTGCTGTGTTATCTTTATGAACTGATGATATTTTATAAACATTTCATGATCCTCAGTATCTTGATGATATTTTATAAACATATCATGATCCTCAGAAAGACTAGTTGCTCTTTCTGATGCAACTTTTCCAACTTTGGCCAATGACGACCCTTTCAAATACTGGCAATTGACTCACTTTTCAGAAGCCCCACTTCACAAAGAAATGTTTTTTTAGTTACTTGAAAAGGAGACTTTATATACAGGGATGGATTAGAGCCACAGAATTATGTTGAAGGTCAGAGCCTATGTTATTCCCAAGGGTCAGTCACGTGACTTGTGTTTGGCTTTTAGCTGTGGAAGAGGCGTCCCAGTGCCTCACCCTTCTCCAGCCCAGCCTCATCACACTCACAGACACCAGAGAGTCCAGAAAAGAAAATGAGGTAATCGGTGATTTGCTGTGTGGATTAATGAGAGGGTGGGAAAGGAGGGAAATTTACTTGGCTCTTAGGCTTTCTGAGACTCCGATTTGGAGAATCAAAATGGTTCACATCTAAAGGGCAGAGACGGTGCCGCCCTGAATCGCTCTCGTCTCTTGCAGTCGTCACACAGTGTGACCACACCGGCCTCTGCTTCCCCTCATGCTGCAGCGTGAGGGGCTGGGGCATAAGGGGAAGGGCTTGCATGGGACAGAGTGAACAGAGTGACTGATGGGGGTGGGCAGCAGGCTTCACATTCTAGACCCCAGCTGACCCCCTAGGTGCCCGACAAGAATGCTGCTTTCTTAGAGATAGAGGTGTGACTAGGACTCTCAGAAACTTGGCAGGTTGTATGTAAGGTTCTGAAGATTGTTTCCTGCTTGTTTTAAGACAAAGGTGTCTCTGTGGCCTCTGTGAACTGCCTCCCTTCATTTCTTTAGGAATTTTCTTTGCTTCTTTTTGTTGTCTTGACACACTGAGATCTTAGTCATGGTTGTTCTAGACTTTGGTCAGTTGGTAGTTAGGAGGGTGTAAGAAGTTATCCAGTGCTTTTCTAAACTTAATTGTGCCTCTTCCAACTACAGAGAAGAGGATGGTCCTCAGGGATCTGGCTCTTCCGCTCCGCCGGCAAACAAGGAGTCCCAGGGAGAACAGGGTAAGTTGAGGAACTCATGGCATGTGTTGGCGGTATTGTATGGAGGGCGCATGGACCACAACCCACTGGAAACACGTTCTGAGCCTTGATTTGTGTGGGGCTTGGTAGTTACAGAGAGAGATGTTCCTGTCCTTTGGGGTTTATGGTCTGGTAAGGGAGAAAGGTTGCCCAGACTCGTATAGCATAACCCAGGCCACCTGGGAGGTTTGGGGTAAGGTAAGCCTAGGTGGGGGAATCTGAGCAGACCAGGCAATTTCTGTCCAGTAAGCAACCATGTGCATGCATTTGGAGCAATGACCACTTCACATCGTCTTGACTGTTAGAAATAATCTTGCCAACACCATCCAAGCACCCAAACCATAGAAGATAGAATCTCAGAGACACCTAGTGAAAGTTCAGTATTAAAAACTAGGCTGGGTAGACAAACCTCTCCATTTCTGGAAGAGAGCAGGAAGAAAGTAAGTCTGATACTTTATTTGCAGATACAACCACATGTAGGGAGCAGAACTGGGATTCTCCACCTACACCCAGCAGCTCCCAGCCACACAGACGCAAGTTTCCCCTGGTGCCCTCCAGGCGAGGGATCCCGCTGATCTCGGTATGGTCTGTCCACCCACCCCTGCCCACCCAGTCTGGCTCCCCTGCGTCTCAGGAACGGAAGGGTCAGTACAAGTTTCTTTCAATTCCTTCTGACTGGCTTGGCTTCTCCTTTTTCTCTTGGTAGCCTCCAGCTCCCTGGATCGGCCGCTCGATCACGGTCGAAGAGCATTACCAGGAGAAGCAAGCTCAGTCACAGTGGCTGAAGAGGATCTTCGAGGATAAGACTGGTAAGGAATATGGGTTAATTTCACACTCCAGAGACTGTTCCCAGAGTCATATTTGTTGACTCCTGAATCCCTGGCCCAGCAAGGCTTCTAGAGCACCAAATACCATCACGTTTGAGATACCATAGTTGCCATTTTCTGTTCTTCTTCCTAGAATCTGCTACAGTGGCAATGTTGGGGGGGAGGCATTGTGTATTTTACTCCGTTCTTGTCCCCGCTGTGAGGAAGAATTGAAGGGCAGAGACACAGTAGTGAAGCAGAGTAAAAGTTTTATTTAAAGTTACTTAGCCAGAAAGAAGTGCAGGTGACCTCAGAGAGGGAGGAGTGCCCTGAAAGGTTGGAGAGAAAGAGTTTAAGATTAAAAGGTCACACACTTAGAAAGTGTGGGTGACTTTAGAGAGAGGAGTGCCCTGAAAGGTTGGGAGGAGTTGAAGTTATGCACTTAGAAAGTGCAGGTGACCTCAGAGAGAGGAGTGCAGTACCCTGAAAGGTTGAAAAGAGGGACTTTAAAGTTGAAAGGTTCTGCACTTAGAAAGTGCGGGTGACCTCACATAGGAGCACAGTGAAAGGTTGGGGGCTCTCTCTTTTAAGGATTTTTCAGGAATGTGACAGAGGGTTAGGGGTGGGCTTGTTCAGTGGTCTCAAGTATCTTTGATGAGACATTAAGTTACTCATCAGTCCTCTAAGTAATTCTGCAAAATTAGCTTATCAAGACCGTCTGCCTTTCTTCCAAGGTGGGCAGAGTTATTTGTTTGCTAAAGAGTATGTTAAGAATCTTTCTTCTGAAACTTCCTAGTTTTTTTTTAAATACAATTTTGGCTTTAAGGTGGGATCTCCCTGTCTTTACTTTGCTGTTTATAGGTGGGCCTTTTAGCAGGCTAGAGTAAATCATACAGTGGTCTAATGGACACAGTGAAGACATGGGCTGTGTTCAGACACTTTTATCTGGGGAATATTCAAACGTCAAGGCCAAGTTTCTCTTGACCTTTTGAGCTTTAACTGATTAACTCACTAACTCTGAATCTTTTCTGGATTTCTAGATTTAACTGGTTACCCGAGTCCTTTCTAGGGGGCTTTGCTGACCCTGTACTCTTTCCACCCCACTCATATGTATTTCCCTGCCTAACAGCCACGCCCATGGCCCGTTTGCCCCTGCAGACACCTGGCCTTCTGGGCCCTCTTGGCTCTTCACAGCCAGGGCCCCTCCCCGACCCCTCCCCAGACTCCAGATCCACAGCCCCTTTCTCGGGGCTGACCCCTGCCTCTCCCGCAATACCAGCCAGTGACGCCACCAAGTCACCTCCGGCTTCTCAGGCTGAGACATCTGCCAAACCCCAGGCCCCGCCTGCCCCAGGCCCCACCCTGAAGCCCAGTGTTCTCTTTGGAACGCTGGGCAGACCACCTGCTAACCCTTCTGCCTCGGCAGCTCCTGCTGTGTCTTCAGCACATCCCATGTTCAAGCCCATCTTTGTGGCTCCATCTAAAAGTGGGAAGGAGGGTCCTGTGCCATCCAGCCATTCCCAAGTCACAATGGAGGCATCTTCCAGCTCTGCCCACACCCCACCTACCAGCAGACTGCCCCTCACTTTCATTTCTGTTTTTAGCAGCACAAGGCTACCTACATCTTTGCCCTTGTCAACTCCTTCCTCCTTCAGTCAGACAACTACTTCAGGCACTAGCACGAATACCCCTCTGTTCCCTGGCCCAGCCAGTGTCAGCGTCCCCTCAGCAGCGGCTTGGGGGACCACCACCGGCACAGCTGCAGACTCCACCCGGAAGCCTGTCTTTGGCTCTGGTGTGAGCAGTGTGACCAGCACTGTGAGCAGCATGACCAGCCCCACTGCTTCCACTGCCCAGCCTGTCCTCTTTGGGTCCCCCCTTGCCTCTGCTACCAGTTCTGCCCAGCCATGGGCTCCATAGCCCAGTTTGGCAGGCTCTGGCCACGCCTGCTCCAACAACAGCCATCACCTTCAGCCAGTCCCTGCCCAGCGCCATCCAGTCAGCTGCCGGCAGCAGCACCGCCAGTTTTGGTGGCTTCAGTGGCACCCTCACGACCTCCGCCCCCATCGCCCTGAGCCAGCCTGCACTGACATTTAGCAGCACTACCACCCCAGCCTTCAACATTCCCTTTAGTTCTGGCACCAGGGCCCCCATCCCATCCTATCCCGGAGTCATGCCACAGCACACATTCGGAGCCACTGACAGACAGCAGATGTGGACTGCCAGCCAGCACTGGTCCCCAGCTTTGGCAGCTCCTTTCCTTTTGGAAGCTCAGCAGCCCTGGTCCCACCCCAGCCAGCCTTTGGCAGCACTGTGTAGTCAGGTTTTCGTGGGTTGAAACCTGCAGCCTCTCTTTTTAGCACCATCTCCAGCACCCAGACAGCCTTTGGCAGCACCACAGGTGTTTCCTCCAATTTTTTTATTTTGTGGTATCATTAATCTACAATTACTTGAGGAACATCATGTTTACTAGACTCCCCCCTTCACCAAGTCCCCCCCACATACCCATTAGTCCCTGTTCATCAGCGTAGTAAGATGCTGCAGAATCACTACTTGTCGACTATGTGTTGCACAGCACTCCCCATGCCCCCCCCACATTATACATGTTAATCATAAGGCCCCCATTCTTCTTCCACCCCCTTCTCCCTCCCTTTCCACCTATCTTCCCCAGTCCCTTTCTATTTGGTAACTGTTGTCCTTTCTTGGGTTCTGTGATTCTGCTGCTGTTTTGTTCCTTCTGTTTTTCCTTTGTTCTTATACTCCCGAGATGAGTGAAATCATTTGGTACTTGTCTTTCTCCACCTGGCTTATTTCACTGACCATAATACCCTCTAGATCCATCCATGTTGTTGCAAATGGTAGGATTTGTTTTCTTCTTATGGCTGATTAATATTCCATTGTGTATATGTATCACATCTTCTTTATCCATTCATCTACTGATGGACACTTAGGTTCCTTCCATTTCTTGGCTATTGTAAATAGTGCTGTGATAAACATAGGGGTACATCTGTCTTTTTAAAATTGGGCTTCTGCATTCTTAGGGTAAATTCCTAGAGGTGGTATTCCTGGGTCAAATGGTATTTCTATTTTGAATTTTTTGAGGAACCTCCATACTGCTTTCCACAGTGATTGAACTAAATTACATTCCCACCACCAGGGGAGGAGGTCGCCAGCATTTGTTGTTGTTTGTGTTTTCGATGGTGGCAATCCTTACTGGTGTGAGGTGATATCTCATTCTGGTTTTAATTTGCATTTCTCTGATGACTAGCGATGTGGAGTATCTTTTTATGTGTCTGTTGGCCATCTGAATTTCTTCTTTGGAGAAGCGTCTGTTCAGCTCCTCTGCCCATTTTTTAATTGGATTAGTTGCTTTTTGTTTGTTGAGGTGTGTGAGCTCTTTATACGTTGTTGATGTCAACCCTTTATTAGATCTGTCATTTATGAATATATTCTCTCATACTATAGGATGCCTTTTTGTTCTATTGATGGTGTCTTTCCCTGTACAGAAGCTTTTCAGCTTGATATAGTCCTATTTGTTCATTTTTGCTTTTGTTTCCCTTGTCGGGGGAGATGTGTTCATGAAGAAGTCACTCATGTTCATGTCCAAGAGATTTTTGCTTATGTTTTTTCTAAGAGTTTAATGTTTCATGGCTTACATTCAGGTCTTTGATCCATTTCAAATATACTTTTGTGTATAGGGTTAGACAATGATCCTCATTTCCTCCTCTTTTGCAGCCACCACCTCAGACTTTGGAGCTATGACCCAGACCACCAGCAGCGGTGGCAGCACAACCTCATCACACTACATATCCAGGGTGTCAGCAGGCCCCGCTGGCAGTGGGGACTTTGGGATAAGCATGTCAGCCCCCCACAACAGCTCCACCACTGGGGCATTCGACTTTGTGGCTGGACGGAGTGGGAGAACTGGTGGCACGGCCCATTTCTGGGGATGCCTGAGTCAGAACTCCCTTGGTACAGCTGGCCAGAGCACACTGTTTGCCATCTACGTGGCCAGCACACCTCAGAAGACATCTGTGCTTGCAGGTGAGATTTGGAAGGGGCTCAGTCTGCAGAGCCAGGTGCTGTTTTAAATGCCAACGTAGTCTACACTCTTGGAGCTCTGTGCTGTGGTGAAGAGACAGATGTTATCTGTAAACAGCGTCAGGTAGCAGTGTAACTCATGACCGGAGGAGCTATTTAGGTAGGCAGTGGGAGCCTTTCTGAGACAATAGGAAACCAAGGTCATGACTGTAGTTCCAGAGATGGGAGCAGGGACAGCGACTGGGGGTGAGGGCGTTCAAGGCACAGGAGCAAAGGCCCGAAGTCAGAAACGACCTTACGTTTTCATGAGCAGAGAACCAGGTGTGGCTAGAGGATTAAAAAGGAAAGTGGGATAAAATGACGTTGAGACAGGCAGTAAGGAAGATCATTCACGGCCTTTTAAAACGTATTTTATTTTTTGGTATTAATCTGCAATTACATGAAGAACATTATGTTTACTAGGCTTCCCCCTTCAACAGTCCCCCCGACGAACCCTATTATAGTCACTGTCCATCAGTGTAGTAAGATGCTGTAGAATGACCCCTTGAATTCTCTGTGTTGCCCAGCGCTCCCTTTGCCCCCTGCCCACATTATATATGCAATTTGTACGGCCCCCCTTCTTTTTCCTGCCCTTATCCCTCACTTCTCATGCATCCTGCTCAGTCCCTTTCCGTTTAGTCCACTTCAATAGGTAGTCCATTCTTGGGTTCTGTGATTCTGCTGCTCTTTTGTTCCTTCAGTTTTTCTTTGTTCCTATACTCCAGAGATGAGTGAAATCATTTGGTGCTTGTCTTTCTCTGTCTGGCTTATTTCACTGAGCATAATATCCAACAGCACCATCCCTGTTGTTGAAAATGGTAGGATTTGTTTTATTCTCTTGGCTGAATAATATTACATTGTGTATATGTACCACACCTTCTTTATCCATTCATCTACTGATGGATATTCAGGTTGCTTCCATTTCTTGGCTATTATAAATACTGCTGACATAAACATAGGGGTACATCTGTCTTTTTCAAAATGGGCTGCTGTATTCTTAGGGGAAATTCCTAGGAGTGGTATTCCTGGGTCAAATGGTATTTCTATTTTGAGCTTTTTGAGGAACCTCCCTCTTGCTTTCCACAATGGTTGAACAAATTTACATTTCCACCAACAGTGTAGGAGGGTTTCCATCTCTCCACAACCTTGCCAAGATTGGTTGTGGTTTGTCTTTTGGATGGTGGCAATCCTTACTGGTGTGAGGTGATATCTCATTGTGGTTTTAATTTTCATTTCTCTGATGACAAGTGAAGTGGTACATCTTTTCACACCTAAATATCTTCTTTGGAGAACTGCCTGTTCAGCTCCCCTGCCCACATTTTCATTGGAACATTTGCATTTTGTTTGTTGAGGTGTGTTAGCTCTTTATATATTTTGGATGTCAACCCTTTATTGGATCTGTCATTTATGAATATATTCTCCCATACTGTAGGAAGCCCTCTTGTTCTGTTGATGGTGCCCTTAACTGTACAGAAGCTTTTAAGCTTGACATAGTCCCATTTGTTCATTTTTCCTTCCTTTCCCTGGAGAGATATGTTGACGAAGAAGTCGCTCATGTTTATGTCCAAGATATTTTCGCCTGTCTTTCTCTAAGTGTTTTATGGTTTCTTGGCTTACTTTCGGGGGTTCGATCAATTTGGAATTTACTTTTGTGTATGGGGTTAGACAATGATGCATGTTTGCTCCTTTTTTGCAGCCATCACCTCCGGCTTTGGAGCTGTGACCCAGCCCACCAGCTGTGGGACCAGGACATCCGGGTTCGGCAGCACCGTGTCAGCGCCCTTCACATCTATGGTGTCAGCAGGCCCCACTGGCAGTGGGGGCTTTGGGACACGCGTGCCTGCCCCCCACAGCAGCCCCACCACTGGGGCATTTGGCTGTGGGTCAGGACAGAGTGGGAGAAGTGGTCTGAAGAACCCTTTTTGGGGAGCCTTAAAACCGAGCTCCCTGGATGGCGCTGGCCAGAGCACACCATCTGCTTTCCACGTGGCCAGCACACCTCAGAACACTCCTGGGTTTGCAGGTGAGATTCGGAATGGGCTCGGTCTGCAGTGCCAGGTGCTGTCTGAAGTGCTGACACAGTCTCCGCTCTCGGAGCCGTATGCTGTGGTGACGATTTAGATGTTATCACAAAACTTATCTTACACAGCATCAGGTAACAGTGAAACTCATAACCGGAGGAGCTATTACGTAGTCAGCGGCAGGCTTTCTGAGACAATAACAAACTGAGGCCATGGCCGCAGCTCCAGAGTCGGGAGCGGGGACAGTGGGTGGGGGTGAGGATGTTCCAGGCACAGGAGCATAGGCCCAAAGGCAGAGATGAGCCTATGTTTTCGTGAGCAGAGAAGAGCCAGGTGTGGCTAGAGGTTATAAAGGAACGTGGGATAAACTGACATTAAGAGACAGGCAGAAAGGAAGAACATTCACGGCCTTTTAAAATCTTTTTTTTTCCTTTGGTATCTATCTACAATTACCTTCAGAACATTATGTTTATTTGGCTCCCCTCTTCACCAAGTACCCTGCACAAACCCCATTAGAGTCACTGTCCATGAGCATAGTAACATGCTGTAGAATCACTACTTGTCTTCTGTGTGTAGCCTAGCCCTCCCTGCGCCCCCCCCCTTATACATGCTAATCATAATGCCTCCTTTCTTTTTCCGTGCCCTTATCCCTCCCTTCCCACCCATCCTCCTCAGTCCCTTTCTCTTTGGTAACTGTTAGTCCATTCTTGGTTTCTGTGATTCTGCTGCTGTTTTGTTCCTTCAGTTGTTCCTTTGCTCTTATACTCCTGAGATGAGTGAAATCATTTGGTACTTGTCTTTCTCCGCCTCGCTTATTTCACTGAGCATAATCCCCCCTAGCTCCAACCATGTTGTTGCAAATGGTAGGATTCGTTTTCTTCGTAAGGCTGAATTATATTCCATTGTGCATACATTCATCTACTGATGGACACGTAGGTTGTTTCCATTTCTTGGCTGTTGTAAATAGTGCTGCAATAAACGTAGGGGTATGTCTGTCTTTTTCAAAATGGGCTGCTGTATTCTTAGGGTAAATTCCTAGGAGCGGTATTCCTGGGTCAAATGGTATTTCTATTTTGAGCTTTTTGAGGAACCTCCATATTGCTTTCCACAATGGTTGAACGAATTTACATCCCCACCAACAGTGTAGGAGGGTTCCCCTGTCTCCAGAACCTTGCCAACATTTGTTGTGGTTTGTCTTTTGGATGGTGGCGGTCCTTACTGGTGTGAGGTGATATCTCATTGTGGTTTTAATTTTCATTTCTCTGATGACAAGTGCAGTGGTACATCTTTTCATGTGTCTATTGGCCACCTGAATTTCTTCTTTGGAGAAGTGCCTGTTCAGCTCCCCTGCCCACATTTTCATTGGAACATTTGCATTTTGTTTGTTGAGGTGTGTTAGCTCTTTATATATTTTGGATGTCAACCCTTTATTGGATCTGTCATTTATGAATATATTCTCCCATACTGTGGGATGCCCTTTTGTTCTGTTGATGGTGCTCTTAAGTGTACAGAAGCTTTTAGTTTGACATAGTGCCATTTGTTCATTTTTCCTTCCTTTCCCTGGAGAGATATGTTGACGAAGAAGTCGCTCATGTTTACGTCCATGACATTTTGGCCTGTCTTTCTCTAAGTGTTTTATGGTTTCTTGGCTTACTTTCGGGGGTTCGATCAATTTGGAATTTACTTTTGTGTATGGGGTTAGACAATGATGCATGTTTGCTCCTTTTTTACAGCCATCACCTCCGGCTTTGGAGCTGTGACCCAGCCCACCAGCTGTGGGACCAGGACATCCGGGTTCGCCAGCACCGTGTCAGCGCCCGTCACATCTATGGTGTCAGCAGGCCCCACTGGCAGTGGGGGCTTTGGGACACGCGTGCCTGCCCCCCACAGCAGCCCCACCACTGGGGCATTTGGCTGTGGGTCAGGACAGAGTGGGAGAAGTGGTCTGAAGAACCCTTTTTGGGGAGCCTTAAAACCGAGCTCCCTGGATGGCGCTGGCCAGAGCACACCATCTGCTTTCCACGTGGCCAGCACACCTCAGAACACTCCTGGGTTTGCAGGTGAGATTCGGAATGGGCTTGGTCTGCAGTGCCAGGTGCTGTCTTAAGTGCTGACAGAGTCTCTGCTCTCGGAGCCGTATGCTGTGGTGAAGATTTAGATGTTATCACAACTTATCTTACACAGCGTCAGGTAACATTGAAACTCATAACCGGAGGAGCTATTACGTAGTCAGCGGCATCCTTTTTGAGACACTAACAAACTGAGGCCATGGCCGCAGCTCCAGAGTTCGGAGCGGGGACAGTGGCTGTTGGTGAGGACGTTACAGGCACAGGAATATAGGCCCAAATGCAGAGAGGAGCTTATGTTTTCGTGAGCAGAGAAGAGCCAGGTGTGGCTAGAGGTTATAAAGGAACGTGGGATAAAGTGACATTAAGAGACAGGCAGAAAGGAAGAACATTCACGGCCTTTTAAAATCTTTTTTTTTACTTTGGTATCTATCTACAATTTCTTTCAGAACATTATGTTTATTTGGCTCCCCTCTTCACCAAGTACCCTGCACAAACCCCATTGGAGTCACTGTCCATGAGCATAGTAACATGCTGTAGAATCACTACTTGTCTTCTGTGTGTAGCCTAGCCCTCCCTGCGCCCCCCCCCACCTTATACATGCTAATCATAATGTCCCCTTTCTTTTTCACTGCCCTTATCCCTCCCTTCCCACCCATCCTCCTCAGTCCCTTTCTCTTTGGTAACTGTTAGTCCATTCTTGGGTTCTGTGTTTCTGCTGCTGTTTTGTTCCTTCAGTTGTTCCTTTGCTCTTATACTCCCGAGATGAGTGAAATCATTTGGTACTTGTCTTTCTCCGCCTCACTTATTTCACTGAGCATAATCCCCCCAGCTCCAACCACGTTGTTGCAAATGGTAGGATTTGTTTTCTTCGTAAGGCTGAATTATATTCCATTGTGCATACATTCATCTACTGATGGACACGTAGGTTGTTTCCATTTCTTGGCTGTTGTAAATAGTGCTGCAATAAACATAGGGGTACATCCGTTCTGTCGTTTTCCAAATTAGGGTTCTGTATTCTTAGGGCAAATTTCTAGGATCTGTATTCCTAGGTCAAACCGTATTTTCATTTTGAGGTTTTTGAGGAATCTCCATATTGCTTCTCTCAATGATTGAACGAATTTTCATTCCCAGGAACCGTGTAGTAGGGTTCCCCTCTCTCCTCAACCTTGCCAACATTGGTTTTGGTTTGTCTTTTGGATGGTGGCTATCTTTACTGGTGAAGGTCAAATCTCATTGTGGTTTAATATGCGTTTCTGTGATTACAAGCGATGTAGTGCATTTTTCATATGTCTCTTGGCCACCTGAATTTCTTCTTTGTGGAACTTCCTGTTCAGCTTCCCTGCCCACATTTTTTTTTGAGTATGTGCTTTTTGTTTGTTGAGGTGTGTGAACTCTTAATGTAGTTTGGAAGTCAACCCTTTATTGGATCTGTCATTTATCAATATATTCTCCCATACTGTGGGATGCCCTTTTGTTCTGTTGATGGTGCCCTTAACTGTACAGAAGCTTTTAAGCTTGACATAGTCCCATTTGTTCATTTTTCCTTCCTTTCCCTGGAGAGATATGTTGACGAAGAAGTCGCTCATGTTTATGTCCAACATATTTTCGCCTGTCTTTCTCTAAGAGTTTTATGGTTTCTTGGCTTACTTTTGGGGGTTCGATCAATTTTGAATTTACTTTTGTGTATGGGGTTAGACAATGATCCATGTTTGCTCCTTTTTTGCATCCATAACTGCCGGCTTTGGAGCTGTGACCCAGCCCACCAGCTGTGGGACCAGGATATCTGGGTTCGGCAGCACCGTGTCAGCGCCCTTCACATCTATGGTGTCAGCAGGCCCCACTGGCAGTGGGGGCTTTGGGACACGCGTGCCTGCCCGCCACAGCAGCCCCACCACTGGCGCATTTGGCTGTGGGTCAGGACAGAGTGAGAGAACTCATCTCAAGAACCCTTTTTGGGGAGCCTTAAAACCGAGCTCCCTGGGTACAGCTGCCCAGAGCACACCCTCTCCCTTCCATGTGGCCAGCATACGCCAGAGCACGTCTGAGATTGCAGGTGAGATTTTGAATGAACTCAGTCTGCAGTGCCAGGTTCTGTTTTACGTGCTGACAGTGTCTCTGCTTTCGGAGCTGTATGCTGTGATGAATATTTAGATGTTATCACAGAAGTTTTCTATAAAGAGCATCAGGTACCAGTGTAACTCATCACCAGAGGATCTATTTAGGTAGTCAGTGGCAGCCTTTCTGAGACAATAGGAAACTGAGAAAATGACTGCAACTTCAGAGTTTGGAGCCGGTACCTCGTCTGGTGTTGAGGATTTTGCAGGCAGAGGAGCAAAGGCATGAAGGCAGAGACAATGTTATATTTTTGTGAGCAGAGAAGAGCCAGTGTGGCTAGAGGTTTAAATAGGCAGATGGGATAAAATGACATTAAGAGACAGGCAGAAAGGAAGATCATTCACGGCTTTTTAAAATGGCTTTTTTGTTTTTAGGTATCAATCTACAATTATCTTAAGAACATTATTTTTATTTGGCCCCGCCCTTCGCATGTACCCTGCACCATCCCCATTAGAGTCACTGTCCATCAGCATAGTAACATGCTGTAGAATCATTACTTGTCTTCTGTGTTTACCCTAGCCCTCCCTGTGCCCCCTCATATTATACATGCTAATAATAATGCCCCCTTTCTTTTTCCATGCCCTTATCCCTCCCTTCCCACCCGTCCTCCTTGGTCCCTGTCCCTTTGGTAATTGTTAGTCCATTCTTGGGTTCTGTGATTCTGGTGCTGTTTTGTTCCTTCAGTTTTTCCTTTGCCCTTATACTCCCAAGATGAGTGAAATCATTTGGTACTTGTCTTTCTCCACCTCACTTATTTGACTGAAGATAATACCCTCTAGCTCCATCCATGTTGTTGCAAATGGTAGAATTTGTTTTCTTCTTATAGCTGAATTATATTCCATTGTGCATATGTATCAAATCGTTTTTATCCATTCGTCTACTAATGGACACTTAGTTTGTTTCCATTTCTTGGCTGTTTTGAATAGTGCTGCGATAAATATAGGGGTGCATCTGTCTTTTTTCGAACTGGGCATCTGTATTCTTGGGGTAATTCCTTGGTGTGGAATTACTGGGTCAAATGGTATTTCTATTTTGAGCTTTTTGAGGAACCTGCATATGGCTTTTCACAATGGTTGAACGAATTTACATTCACAGTGACAGGGTAGGAGGGTTCCGCTTTCTCCACACCTCGCCAACGTTTGCTGTTGTTTGTGTTTTGTATGGCAGCGATCCTTCCTGGTGTGAGCTGATATCACATTGTGGTCTTAATTGGCTTTTTTCTGATGACCAGCGATATGACACATGATTTCATGTGTCTATTGGCCATCTGAATTTCTTCTTTGGAGAACTGTCTGTTTAGCTCCCATGCCCATTTTTTAATTGGAATATTTGCTTTTTGTTTGTTGAGCTGTGTTAGGTCATTATATATTTTGGATGTTGACCCTTAATCAGATCTGTCATTTATAAATATATTCTCCCGTACTGTAGGATGTCATTTTTTTCCATTGATGGTGTTCTTTACTTTACGGAAGCTTTAAAGCTTGATATAGTCCCATTTGTTCATTTTTGCTTTTGTTTCCCTTTCCTTGGGAGATACGTTCATGAAGAAGTCACTCATGTTTATGTCCAACAGATTTTTGCCTGTCTTTGTCTAAGATTTTTCTGGTTTCATGGCTTACATTCAGGTCTTTGATCCATTTCGAATTTACTTTTATGTATTGGGTTAGACAATGATCCATGTCTCCACCTTTTTTGCAGCCATCACCTCGGCCTTTGCAGCTATGACCCTGACCACTAGCAGCGGGACCAGTAGGTCAGTGGTCGGCAGCACTACTTTATCACCCATCATATCTGGGGTGTCAGCAGGTCCTGCTGGCAGTGGGGGTTTTGTGATCAGCATGGCTGCCCCGAACAGCAGCTCCACCATCGGGTCATTCGGATTTGGGTCAGGACGGAGTGGCAGAACTGGTCTCAAGAACCCTTTCTGGGGCGCCTTGAATGAGAACTGCCTGGGTGCAGCTGGCCAAAGCACACCCTCTCCCATCCACATGGCCAGCACACCTCAGGACACGTCTGGGATTGCAGGTGAGATTTGGAATGGGCTTGGCCTGCTGTGCCAATCGCTCTTTTAAGTGCTGACACAGTCTCTGCTTTTGGAGCTGGACCCTGTGTTGAAGATTTAGATGTTATCACAGAAGTTATCCATAAAAAGCACCAGGTAGCAGTGTAACTCAAGACTGGAAGTGCTATTTAGGTAGACAGCGGCAGCCTTTTAGAGACAGTAGATAACTGAGGCCATGGCCGCTGTTCCAGAATTGGGAGTAGGGACAGCAGCTGGGGTGAGAACCTTGTAGGCACAGGAGCAATGGCCCAAAGGCAGAGATTAGCTTATGTTTCCATGAGCAGATAAGAGCCAGGTGTGGCTACAGGTTTAAAAAGGAAGGTGAGATAAAATTACATTAAGACACAGGCAGAAAGGAAGATCATTTAGAGCCTTTAAAAAACATTTTTTTTTGTTATCAATCTACAATTACCTTAAGAACATTATTTTGATTTGGCTTTCCCCTTCACCAAGTACCCCACACAAACTCCATCAGAGTCACTGTCCATCAGCATAGTAACATGCTGTAGAATCACTACTTATCTTCTGTGTGTAGCTTAGCCCTCCCCATGCCCCCCACATTGTACATGCTAAGCGTAATGCCCCCTTATTTTTCCCTGCCCTTATCCCTCCATTCCCATCCATCCTCCACAGTCCCTTTCCCTTTGTAACTGTTAGTCCATTCTTGGATTCTGTGATTCTGCTGCTGTTTTGTTCCTTCAGTTTTTCCTTTGTTCTTATACTCCAGAGATGAGTGAAATTATTTGGAACTTGTATTTCTCCACCTGGCTTATTTCACTGAGCATAATACCCTGTAGTTCCATCCATGTTGTTGGAAATGGTAGGACTTTTTTTCTTATTATGGCTGAATAATATTCCAGTGTGCATATGTATCACATCTTCTTTATCCATTCATCTACTGATGGACACTTAGGTTGTTTCAATTTCTTGACTGTTGTAAATAGTGCTGTGATAAACATAGGGGTGCATCTGTCTCTTTCAAAATATAGGGGTGCTGTATTCTTAGAGTAAATTCCTAGGAGTGGAATTCCTTGTTCAAATGGTATTTCTATTTTGAGCTTTTTGAGGAACCTCCATATTGCTTTTCACAATGGTTGAACGAATTTACATTCCCACCAACAGTGTAGTAAGGTTCCCCTTTCACCACAACCTTGCCAACATTTCTTGTTGTTTGTCTTTTGGATGGCGGCAATCCTTACTGGTGTGAGGTGACATCTCATTGTGGTTTTAATTTGTATTTGTCTGATGACAAGTGATGTGGTGCATCTCTTAATTTGTCTATTGGCCATCGGATTTTCTTCTTTGGAGAACTGTCTGTTCAGCTCCCCTGCCCATTTTTTAATTGGATTATTTGCTTTTTGTTTGTTGAGCTCTGTTAGCTCATTATATATTTTGGATGTCAACTCTTTATCAGATCTGTCATTTATGAATATATTCTCCCATACTGTAGGATGTCCTTTTCTTATGTTGTTGGTGTTCATTACTGTACAGAAGCTTTTAAGCTTGATATAGTACCATTTCTTCATATTTGCTTTTGTTTCCCTTGCCTGGGGAGATACGTTCATGAAGAAGTCACTCATGTTCATGTCCAAGAGATTTTTGCCTGTTTTTGTCTAAGAGTTTTATGATATCATGATTTAAATTCAGGTCTTTGATCCATTTCAAATTTACTTTTGTGTATAGTGTTAGACAGTGATCCATGTTTCCTCCTTTTTTGCAGCCATCACCTCGGCCTTTGCAGCTATGACCCTGACCAGCAGCAGCAGGACCAGTACAACAGGGTTTGGCAGCACTATCTCAGTGCCCTTCACGTCCAGGGTGTGAGCAGGTCCTGCTGGCAGTGGGGGCTTTAGTATGAGCATGGCTGCCCCCCCACAGCAGCTCCACCATTGGGACATTCACCTTTGGGTTAGGACGGAGTGGGAGAACTGGACTCAGGATCCCTTTCTGGGGAGCCTTGAATCCGAACTCCCTGGGTGCAGCTGACCAGAGCACACCCTCTCCCTTCCACATGGCTAGGACGCCTCAGAACACGTCTGGGATTGCAGGTGAGATTCAGAATGGGCTCGGGGTGCATTGCCAGGTGCTGTCTTAAGTGCTGACACAGTCTCTGCTTTCGGAGCTGTATGCTGTGGTGAAGATTTAGATGTTATCACAAAAGTTATCTGTAAACAGCGTCATGAGGTCATGAGGCAGTGTAACTCATCAACCAGAGGAGCTATTTAGATAGACCCCGGCAGCCTTTCTGAGACAATAACAAAGTGAGGCCATGGCTGCATTTCCAGAGCTGGGAGAATGGACAGCAAGTCGGGATGAGAACGTTACCAGCACAGGAGCAAAAGTCCGAAGGCAGAGATGAGCTTATGTTTTCATGAGCAGAGAAGAGCTAGGTGTGGCTAGAGGTTATTAAGGAAAGTGGGATAAAATGACATTAAGAAATAGGCAGAAAGGAAGATCATTCACAGCCGTTCAAATGCTTTTTTTTTTTTGGTATCTCTGTACAGTTACCTTAAAAACATGTTTATTTGGCTCCCTTCTTCACCAAGTACCCCGCAGAAACCCCGTTAGAGTCACTGTCCATCAGCATAGTAACATGCTGTAGAATCACTGCTTGTCTTCTCTGTGTAGCCTAGCGCTCTCCGTGACCCACCATATACATGCTAATCATAATGTCCTCTTTCTTTTTCCCTGCCCTTATCCCTCCCTACGCATCCTCGTCAGTCCCTTTCCCTTTGGTAACTGTTAGTCCATTCTTGTTTTCTGTGATTCTGCTGCTGTTTTGTTCCTTCAGTTTTTCCTTTGCTCTTATACTCCCGAGATGAGTGAAATCATTTGGTACTCCTCTTTCTCCGCCTCACTTATTTCACTGAACATAATTCCCTCGAGCTCCATCCATGTTGTTGCAAATGGTAGGATTTGTTTTCTTCTTAAGGCTGAATTATATTCCATTGTGCATATGTATCAAATCTTTTTTATCCATTCGTCTACTTATGGACACTTAGTTTGTTTCCATTTATTGGCTGTTTTGAATAGTGCTGTGATAAATATAGGGGTGCATCTGTCTTTT